GCCCAAGATCCCAAGAGGAGAATGGAGGAGAAAGAATTGCAGCGTAGCCATCCTCCCTAGGGGATGATTTCTTGCTTTCTGTCTCTGTCTCTCTGTCTTTCTGGCGAGCGCACAGGCCCTATAGCAAAAAACCTCTCAAAAAAAAAAAAAAAAGAAAAGAAATTAAACTTAGGTTTTACCTCCTCCAAAAGAAAATTGACTTAAGGATAAATTCTCATGCAGGAGCACAGGACTCAGTCTTTTAGTCATAAGTCTCATTGCTGTGATTAACCCAAGAAAGAACTTAGTAAATTTTAAATAGTGGGGGCTCTCTAATGTGGATTAAATGTATTTTGCAGAATAAATTAATGAAAGATATGTCCTCCCCTCGAAAGGGGTCCATGGCCACATACATTTTGAGCGTCCTGAGTTAGACAAATTAATACATTTCTTTCAACCAAACATCTCTAAATATAAGTGTGCTCAATATCTGTGGAACTCCAGGGGGAGACAAGACCATGTAGCATCTCCTTGACTTCCTGGACCCTGGTACATTTTACTTGTTCACGCAGAGAGCATCTCAGGATGCTAATGTCCCTCCAAGCCTGCTTTGCCCTGACCGAGCCCTTTGGCATCATAGTGGGTGTCCTTGGCTCATCAGCACTGACTCCAGAGCTCTGTGTTTGCAGACTGCCGGCTGCACATCTGCCTGTACTACCGGGAAATACTGGTGAAGGAGCTGACCACGTCCAGCCCCGAGGGCTGCCGGATCTCCCACGGACACTCCTTTGATGCCAGCAACCTGGACCAGGTCCTGTTCCCCTACCCGGAGGACAATGGCCAGAGGAAAAACATTGAGAAGCTGCTGAGCCACCTGGAGAGGGGCGTGGTCCTCTGGATGGCCCCCGACGGGCTTTACGCCAAAAGACTTTGCCAGAGCAGGATCTACTGGGATGGGCCTCTGGCACTATGCAGTGACAGGCCCAATAAACTAGAAAGGGACCAGACCTGCAAGCTCTTTGACACGCAGCAGTTCTTGTCAGGTATGCATCTCAGTGTCTGTTAGAGTGGAGGGGGTGATGGAGGGCCTACCAAGGGCTCAGAAATCACAGGGTCCCAGAACTAGCAGTTGGCATAATGGCTATGTTACTGGACTCCCATGTAGTCGACCATGGTTCCAGTCCCGGACCCCCCGTGGCTTAAACTCACACCAGGCACTTGTGTGCGTGTGCCCAAAATCCCAAGAGGAGAATGGAGGAGAAGAGATTATGGCATGGCCATCCCCCCTGGGGGGTGATTTCTTGCTTTCTGTCTCTCTGTCTCTCTCTGTCTTTCTGGCAAGCGCATGCGCCCTTCAACAAAAATCTCTCCCCCAAGAAAGAAAGAGAAATCACAGGGTCCCTTGTACCCCAGGCAGAGTGTGTCCCCTGTCCACCAGGCTTGAGCCCAGAATGAGGTTTCTTGTCTGGTTTATCGTCTGTTCTCTCCATCAGCAGAGAGGTTTCAGGTGGGTCTAGAAGAGAGAGTCCAGGGACTATGGCTCAGGCTGACATCTTGAGATTCTGGTTGTCAGCCAACAGTCACCTCTTACCAAAGTCCCATTTCATTGGCAGTCTTACCCCCCGCGTGCATATCTGCTGATGTTTCAGCTCTTTTCAGGTTCCTAGAAAAAATCGTAAAGGTTAGAAATATATTGTTAGCATTCTTGGTTATGAGATGTGTCATCCTCATGCAGATACCGCCCCACGGGGGGGACCAAGAATAGAGTGTACTGAACTGATTTTGCAAAGGGGAAATTATGGGGCTTTGAGTTTTCTCTGTGATATAGTTTCTCATCACATTTTCCAGGACCAGTAAGATTTGTTTTCATAGTTTTGTTTTCATGACAATTTAGTGAGCCCTGGGCTGGCATTTGTAAAACCACTGACCAATGTCACTATTGAAGCTGCATCCAGAGTGTTCACTCAGCTGCAGAGAGGCTTCCTCTAGGGTGAGAAAGCTGCTCCACCTGCCAACGCTCTGCTAGTTCTTCCTCTACCTTATATTAGTCTATTCTTTTTTGAGTTTCCCCCCCCCACCAAATATATCCATTGTCTTTGGTTTTCCATATAGCTCCCTTTCTTTAGAGATTTTTTTTCTTTTTTTCCTCTCTCATCTTGTACGACATGTTTTTGTTTGTTTGTTTGTTTTGTTTTTTAATATGTTTATGAGGCCAGTTCCGTGGCCTGGTGGTTAAGGGAGCCAGATCCCACATGGCTGACTATGTGGTTCCAATCTCAGCCCCTGTAGCTTGAAAACCTCTGTCTTGGGGCCAGCAGATGATTAAGGCACTGGACTCCCATGTAGTCAACTGTGATTCGACTCCTGGACCCGGCAGCTTGAAACTCATGCCAGGCACATGTGTATGCATGCCTAAAATCCCAAGAGGAGAATGGAGAAACGATTATGAGGGGCCATCTCCCAGTGGGGTGACTTCTTACTTTCTGTCTCTCTGTGTCTCTCCAGTGAGCACACATACCCTATAGCAAAAATCCCTCTTTAAAAAAAATGGAAAGAAAGAAAAACTCTTGTCTCTCTCTCTCTCTTACACAAGCACATATACCCTCTGGAAAATTAAGAAATATATTTATATATATATGGCTAAATTGATCTAATGAACACATGTTCACCTCACATATTTATTTTTGTGTGTGTGGTGAGAACAAATCTACTCTCTGAGCAATTTTAAGTATATAGCACTTTTTTTTTAAAATATAGAATGCTTCACAAATTTGCATGTCATCCTTACACTGGGGCCATGCTAATCTTCTCTGCGTTGTTCCAGTTTTAGTGTTTGTGCTGCCGAAGCAAGTACAGCACAAGTTATTAACTCAAGTCACTGTCTGTATGACAGATCTCAAATTTACTCTCCTGTCTAGCTGGAATTCTGTGGCCTTTGACCAATATCTCGTAACCCATCCTCCTTTCTTCCGGGTAACCACCATTCCACTTTCTACTTCTATGCGTTCAACTTTTTTAGATTATGCATGTAAATAAGATCACATGGTATTTGCTTCCTGTGCTTTGCCTATATCACTTCACATAACGTCCTCCAGGTTCATTGTGTTGTCATAAATAACAGAACTTCCTTCTTTTTTATGGCTACGTATTGGGTCATCTGAAAAGTCATGATGCATTTTTACGCAGAAAAACACATAAAAAAATAATTTTTCGATGATCTAATAGTATTCCATTGTGTATACAGAGGATCATCAGAGAGTTCTGGAAGTATGTGTCATTGAAAAACTGCATGGATTTAAAAAAAAATGTTTACACCGGGAACCAGCAGTTAGCGTGATGGCTATGTCGCTGGACTCCCACGTAGTCGACCGTGGTTCGCATCCTGGACCCGATGGCTTAAAACTCACACCAGGCGTGTGTGCATGCGTGCCCAAGATCCCGAGAGGAGAATGGAGGAGAAGGGATTGCGGCGTGACCATCCTCCCTCGGGGGTGATTTCTCGCTTTCTGTCTCTATGTCTCTCTTTGTCTGTCTAGCGAGCGCACGCGCCCTATAGCGAAAATCTCTCCCCCCCCCAAAAAAAAAAGTTTACACCAAAATAAACTCATACTTTAATTACATTTTCACATAATTTTTTAAAAAAAATTTTTTGGAGAGGTTTTCTCTATAGGGTGTGTGTGCTCACCAGAAAGACAGAGAGAAACAGAGAGACAGAAAACAAGAAATCACCCCCATGGGAAATGGCCATGCCACAATCCCTTCTCCTGCATTCTTTTCTCGGGATTTTGGCCAAGCACCCACACACACCCAGCGTGAATTTAAGCCACCAGATCCGGGACTCAAACTGCAGTAAACTGCATAGGAGTCCAGTGACATAGCCATTATGCCAACTGCTGGTTCCTCCACAAACTTTCTGAAGGCCTCTCATGTATACCACACTGTCTGTATTTATTCATCAGTCAATATGGAATCAGGTTGATTCTATATGTTGACTTTTGTGACTGTTACAGCTGTGAGTAGGTGTCTGTCTGTCTGACATACTGATTTCATTTCCATTGAAAATATGCCTAATAGTAGGGTTGTTAGATCTTGAATGTGCTTCATGCTTCTAATTATTTAAAATAAATCATGAAATACCTACAAGCTCCGGCACTGTTGACATTTGCTCAACCTTTGGGGTTTAAGTTGCCCCAAATTTGCATAGCCTTTTCCAAATTCTCCGTTAGTGCCAGAACAAATATGTCCCTAGATAACCAACTTACCCACCGAGGTGTGGCACAAGGAAGAGATACCTGAGGCTGCAGCACAGTAAGGTAGGCAGGTGGGGCTAAATGCCCTCACTCTAAAGAGCAATGTCCCCAAGCCTTGCCAGGACAGTCCTGCCCATCATGGGGTCTAGCATGATGTTCATGGTGGGATGCGGAGGAAGAACAAATAACTTTAAAGGGGCAGGCTGTCTGCATCTCCTGTGACTGCCTAAGCGTCTAGAAAAAGATCACCTTTCCCTGCAAGGGAAACTACAGCTTGGATTTCCTGAGAGATTGTGGAAAATGACTGGATTCAGGAGATCCCACGTCCCAGGAAAACAGCATCAGCTTCCACTCTGAGTCTCTCCTGCCATGCCTGTGTTGAGAAGACAGACTTCCCTCCACAACTAAGCCTAACATCCACTTTGAGTCACAGGTGCACTGCCCCAGAAGTAGAGTCTGTCAAGCAAGTTCAGGCTGTAACCCCGCTTACCTAGAATTTAACATTCATTCGTGGACAAGAGTTATTCTTTTCTTTATCTTTATTCCTTTCCTCTGTAACTATGGGCTGTGCTTTTTACCCATCGCAACCTCTTACCTCGAAGTGTTCAGAGAGGTTCAAGGAAAAGGCTGTGAACTTAAAACCTGCAGCTGTGTAGACCAGCTTCTACACAATGAAGAATTCCTACCCAACATTCTCATGTTATCAAGGACTGGAGGCAGGCCTTTTTCAGAGAATCGTGCCAGCTCACCACGTTGATTTCGCATGTGTAGGTGTTGTCTAGGGCCACCACACTGTGAACGTGCCCTGTACATTCTGACTAAGTTGGTTGGGTTGGGTTTGATTAGGGGAAAATAACAGAGACAGAAAGTCAAGTCGTTCTATGAGTTAGCGAGAAGCATTTCTTCAGAAGAGAACAGGTGGAAATCTTTGATATCTACTCATTCAGGATTTGCACACTGCAGGGGACAGCCCCAAAGGCCCGACCCAAGGGTGTGTATCTGATAAAGATGCATCTGCATTGCTCTTCTGCAGAAGTGCTAACCTCCTGTTTCCTTTGTAGCCATAGCATTTTCCTCCAGCTATAGGTGTAGAGTCATCTGAGTTGGGCTCAAGGACTTGGGCTAACGTTGGGGATTGGATGGCTCTTACCAACAATGCTCCAGCTATTTTATATTCATGAGATAGATGTGTTGGTTCCAGGATGTGCATATCCCCAAGAGCAGGGGCTAGAGGTGCCTCATCACTAATCCTTCTCATCTCAAGTCATCATCTTTTGTCCCCAAAGACAGGCTAAAAGGCAGCTCGGAGCTGCACGGTTTAGGGTTCAGGCCTTGTGCCAAGTGGGAGGCAGTTACTGATAGCTGGTGCTCTTCACCAGTTAAGACAGACAGACAGACACATCCTGCAGTGCCCGAGTCACAGATGTCCTTGGTTGTACAGAGACTGAGTTAGGTGGGCTCCATGGTGAGTGGGTAAGGTGTGAAAATAATTCTGGGATGTCAGAACATTCTGATTTTTACAAAATGAAAAATTCTTTGGGCAACTTGTTCTTTGGCCTTAACATTTCTTTTTCTGTTTCTACTTCATTCTTTTTTTTTTTTTTTTTTTTTTGAGAGGTTTTAGCTATAGGGCACGTGAGCTCGCCAGACAGAGACAGAGAGACAGAAAGCGAGAAATCACCCCCCATAGTGGGGATGGCCAAGCCACAATCCTTTCTCCTCCATTCTCCTCTTGGGATCTTGGGCACGCACGCACACACACCCAGCGTGAGTTCTAAGCCACCAGGTCCGGGCTCGAACCACGGTCGACTACGTGGGAGTCCAGCAACATAGCCATTATGCTAACTGCTGGTCCTTATTTCTACCTCGTTCTTTACTTATTGCTACATTTTGCATCCTCATGGGCTCCACGCTACAAATTGGACCTTGTTGGGAAAAACACGCCTATGAACATGTACATGCAATTTTGTGTCTGGGGTCTTTATGATAAAAGCCCTACTTAGGAATGAAGGGCTCCTCTTAGAGTCTTCAACATCTGGCTTTCTGTTTAATCCTGTCATATCAGTTATGAAGGTTTCTGAGTGTGTATTTGTTTCTCGTGGACTTTTCCAGAGCTGCAGGCATTTGCTCATCACGGCCGACCCCTGCCGAGATTCCAGGTGACTCTGTGTTTTGGGGAGGAGTTTCCAGACCCTCAGAGGCAAAGAAAGCTCATCACAGCTCACGTGAGTATAGACTCCCTTTGGCATCATTGCGTTTCCCTGTTGCTCATCAAAGGCAGTCTCATGTTGAGAAGTCCCAAATGAAAAGTAAATGTCAAGTGATCTGAGAAAATAAACATAACCCTATCAAATAGTAAGAGAGGAGGGCCACCTGATGTGGTAGATTAGGCAGCTGGTTACTACCTGACTGATTGAACAGTTCCCATCCTGGATGCAGTGGCTTAAAAAATACTCTGGGCACGTGTGTGTGTGCCCAACATCCTGAAAGGAAGAAGAAATGGAGGAGAAGGGATTGCAGCATGACCATCACCCATAGGGAGTGAGAGAGGAAGCATGGTCCAGCAAAAATCACAACCCAGAGACCCACGTGATGTTCCAGCCTCAACTTCCACTCATCACAAAACCTAGGAGGATACGTCCTCCAACACAGGCTCTACTCATCCCATCATTTTTCTTTTCAAGGAAATTGTCCTATTCCTATTTTATAGAGATTTGAAAAGATTGATGCTAAAAGGTACCTTTAAAGTGCTCCACATCTGAAACTGCTTTAAAAATAATGTCTAGCAGACAAATCTTCGCTGGAGCAGATTTTCCCCAATGGGAATCTGTCCATTCACTTGTACATTTTCTAGGCCACCCCCTAAATGTTTCCCAGCCCTTTTTATTTCTAGGTTTGTGTGTGTGTGTGTGTGTGTGTGTGTGTGTGTGTGTGTGTCTGTGTGTAGTTTTGCTATAGGGTATGTGTGCTCACCAGAAAGTGATAGAGACAGATAGAGAAAGTGAGAAATCACCCCCCAGGAGGAGTGACCGTGCCATAATCCCCTCTACAGTTTCCTCTCAGGATTTTAGGCACACATACACATGTACCCAGCGTAATCTTTAAGCTGTTGGGTCCAAGAATTGAACTGTAGTCAGCCATAGGAGACCCAGAGCCTTAACTACCACACCACCCACTGGCCCTTATTTCTAGATTTTAAGAAAGTATTTAAATATTGGACATGTTATTTGGGAAAGGCTAAATCTTTCAAAGAATTCAAGTAGATCAGACCCCTCATAACGTTCTCCAACAGAGTTTAAGATGGGTCCAACTTTGGCAAGAAAACATCTTTTGCATAAAAAGAAAAGCAAAATATTTATATAGGTAACATTTAGCATTCACATTTATTCACTATAGAAACAGAGTCTCGAATACCTCAGATTTTTAATCTGAAAATTTTGTGTAGTTAGATTGTCTGAGAGCTCTGAGTGAGTGGCCCCAGACAATCAGCAGTACCAGGGGAAAATTCACACCTCATGGTATCAAAATTCAGATCGGATCGTAGCTCTGATGACATTTTAAATTGGAAACTTAAATAAAACACTATCTAATCCTGAACACACAACCCTCCCCCTTTTGTAAAAAAAATTTTGCTGTAGGGTATGTGTGTTCACCAGAGAGAGAGACAGAGACAGAGAGAGAAAGTGAGAAATTAACTGCCAGGGGGATTGCCGTGCTTCAGTTTCTTCTCCTCTTGGGATTTTGGGCATGCACACACATGCACCTGGCGTGTTTTTCAAACTCCAGGTCTGAGACGCAAACCGGGCAGTTGGCAATGTGGGATTCAGTCACCTTAACCACCATGCCATTGACTGCCCCACCACACACACACGCACACACATGCACACACACACATGCACACACTTCTTAATTGTAAAAACAAAGCCAATCAACCAATAAACAAAAATGTAACACTATGGACTTTAAAGCCATATGCATTCTCTCCGGTGATTGATGTGATAATCTGAATAACTGACATTATTAGTTGATAGCTTGTTAACAACAGATGGGTAAATGACCAAATAAACTTGGCATTGATAAACAACATTCAAGAAGTTGATGACAAATTCCTGCCTCTATCTGAAGAGTACTTTGGACGCAGTGGCTTTACTCTAAGCTAGGCAAGGATAGATTTCCCAGGCAAATGGTGTTGTATAGTCCATAATGGGATTGCGTACCTGAATTCTACTCGTTTTTGCTATGGATTTAATTCACTTCAGGCATTGACATAAGAGTTATCTTACATTATATACGCAATTGGTAGCATACCGAATGCACTGCTGGAAGCCATGTGACCAGCCGTGGGTTTGGATACCTGGTCAATTGAAAACCCACCAGTTGCATGCACTCTCAGGACCATAACGAGAGAGAAGGCTGTGGGAAGGGAGTCACAGTGTGACAAGACCTTGTCAAGAGCGTGCCTGTGTATGTCTCTTACATGAAGGTGCTCTCTCTCATGAGCCTAAGTTACACTGAATATGACCTCAGACTTCCTTTTAATTTGATCATTGTACATGATTTGGTGCTCTCTGTCTTGAATAACACTCTTTTTTTTTTTTTTTGAGAGGTTTTTGCTATAGGGTGCGTGCGCTCGCCAGACAGACAGAAAGAGACAGAGAGACAGAAAGTGAGAAATCATCCCCCACGAGGGATGGCCATGCAGCAATCCCTTCTCCTCCATTCTCCTCTCGGGATCTTGGGCACGCATGCACACACACCCAGCGTGAGTTTTAAGCCACCGGGTCCAGGATGTAAACCGTGGTCGACTACTGGGAGTCCAGCGACATGGCCATTACGCTAACTGCTGGTCCCCTTGAATAACACTCTTTAAAATACCTACAGGCTTAATTAATTAGCACAATTGCTTAACTGCAGCTAGTCTTAGATCTTATAAATTCAGAAAAAACTGGAAGCTGAAAATATTTTCAGTGAATGTGATCCACACTAATAACAAAAATAGATAACCTGGAGGCCAATTAATTTTTGCCACAACAGCAATTTTGTTTAATTTTTTCTTTTTCTTTTTCTTTTACCTTTGGTTTAGAATTACACAGAGTCTGTAGGAATTGGGACCTTCAGGATGAGCCCCTCACCCCTGTTAAATAGTAGTTCAGCAAAAACACAGTCATTAGCCTAAATTACCCTGAATATGACCTCAGACTTCCTTTTAATTTGATCATTGTATATGATTTGGTTCAGTTGTAGTTACACATAAATTTCAAGTAGCAATTGATTTGAAAATATCTTTTAACTATAACCTTGATTGAAGCACAGAATAAATGGATTACTGATCTTTTTCTTTGGAGAGGTTTTTGCTATAGGGTGCATGTGCTCACCAGAAAGACAGAGAGAGACAGAGAGACAGACAGAAAGTGAGAAATCACCCCCCGGGAGGATGGCCACACTGCAATCCCTTCTCCTCCATTCTTCTCTCAGGATCTTGGGCACACATGCACACGCGCCCGGCATGAGTTTAAGCCACCGGGTTCGGGACTCAAACCACAATTGACTACATGGGAGTTCAGCTACATAGTCATTATGCTAACTGCTACTCCCTAGATTATGGTTCTTCAGATGGCTCCAAATATGAAATGTTTCTGTGTGTTATAACATGTAACTTTGGGCTTAACTTTCCTGTCCCCTTAGAATTTGAATTATTTAATGATAAGCCATTTGTAGGATGTTAAAAAGGGTATCTCAGTAATGCCCTTTTAAATTCTCTTCATAAAGGTGGAACCTCTGCTAGCCAGACAACTGTATTATTTTGCCCAGCAAAACAGTGGACATTTTCTGAGGGGCTACGATTTACCTGAACACATCAGCAGTCCAGAAGACTATCACAGATCTATCCGCCACTCCTCCATTCAAGAATGAAGATAGTCAAGACCAGCAATTTTGTTTCATTGTAAATATTTGACTTTGACAAGGACAACTAATTGACCGAACTCTTTCTCCTTTGAGGAAGTAAAAAATGGAGGCTTCCATTCAGATGTGGAAGAGAATCACAACAAGAATATGTGCAGAAAATCAGCTACATCTCATTGACAAACCAGCTCATGCTAAAAGGAAGTCTTCCAGCTTTGACAACTAAGTAGTTTCAGTGTTTCATAGACTGTCATCGGGGAAGACAACTGTGAAAATGGATATGTTTACATTTACTTAAATACCATCTTTTATTTGGTATAGATTAGTTCTTTCTTGAAGACTGAAACTACGTGCATTTCAATATTAACCACTGACTAGCATGGTGAAAACACTTACGTGTTGTACCATTTCTCAGGGAAGTAAAGTCTAAATTGGAGACTACTCTGTCCACAAAAGACGTACTTTAATATATGTAGGAGCTATCGTTCTTATGAAAATGCTTGCTAAGTAAAGGATGCTGAACCTTTGACTAAGGCTGGGCTGTCATGTCTATAGGTTTGGGTGTGGCCTGAGAGTCCCTGCCCTCCCTCTTGTTTTTTCTTCATGGCCTGCTCTAGAGGCCAGTTGAGAGATTCCATTGCCATTTATTTATGAGCCAAAAAGCATTAGGGCTATTCTTGAACAGGATATTTTTGTTTGTCCTATAATCTAATAATGGCTGGTTAAGAATTTTTGTTTCTTTGTCATGTTGTCTCTCATTCTTTAGAAATTTGCTAATACTTTTTTCTTAAAGAGGGAAGACAAAAAGAGACAAAGTCCACCATCCAAGTACTAGAGATATATTTTTGAAACTAACTCTTTAATTTGTTTTGTTTGGCTATCAGTAGTTATCCATGGCAACATAAAGAGGAGGGGCCAGTGACTCTCAGGTTGGTGAAGTCTGTTGAGACGCACAATGGCAGAATTTACCCGATTGCATAACCATGGACTCCATGGCCTGGTTGTGCTTATTTTGTGTATTATATGCTTCCTCATGTCAGTAATAGTTTGACAAAGCCTTAACATTACTGGGCTTTTTCTAAATACATCTTTTTATAGAATCTCAGAGATCTCCACTTTCTTCGTTAAACCTGATCATTTACTTTTTGTTGGAAAAGTGTATCTTGTCAAGTTGCAGCGCCAGACTCCGGTATTTCCCTGATACTACAAAATAATTATGATCACTTCCAGACTCAGCAAAGACTCAATAGTTTATTTTTAAAATTCACTCATCAAGCACATGTTAAATGCCTGCTGTATCCCTTGCATCCCATGGATTATAGATTTTATCAAGATTAGTAAGTAATGAAACATTGGAATGTCATTTCTTTTTTTATTATTTTTAAGAGGAGGTTTTAATACGAATATAATAATACTAACTACAGAAAATGTAAACAATATACAAGAGCAAAACATGAAACGCATCTCTTCTTTCCCCTACCCAAATCCTTCTCCCTAGATGTTGCCACAAGAACAGTTGATTTTCCCAACACTTTTCTATACGTATACAGAAACGTTTTAAAAATCTCATGAGATCACCTTGCACACACTTTTCTGCTGTGCTTTTTTACCTAACAGTACAGATTTACCTCATTCTTCTTGGAGGCATTGTAGAATTCTGTATCTGACTGCCATATTTCCATAGGATTTACAAGAGTCCAGTAGCCACTCAACGTGGATATGTTTGGGCAGCAGATTGTGTCACGTGAACTGCAGTAATTTATACATCTTATAGATGCAAAATATTTTGGGATATATTATCCTTGGGGTAGAGGGAGACAAAATTAGGAACTACTATTTCAAGGGGCCCCCAGTATACAGAGAATAAACCCAGCACCAGGCTTCAGAGAAGTTCTCTTTGGGGGGTTGCCTTAGGGGCAATGTGTCTTAATTCTCCAAGCCGATGTTTGATTTCAATTGCTGTGTGAATTCTTTTTTTTTTTTTTTTCTTAATATACTATGCCGCTAAGAACAGTGGAGCTGCATTTTCTGAAAAATTCTCATTAGCTTGGGCTACTACCTCCTTTCTTATTTTTATACCCAGGTACATTGACTTTTTTTAGTTTCAAGAGTTTCAGCGTGTGAGCTGGGGAATGAACTAGCTAGGACTTTGAAAAAGAATGACTTCCTCTTCCTTATCTTGCTGAAGTGGGATTAGTAACAAACTAGAATTCCATTTGTACTCAATGGAAGTTGATGTAGAAGAGTTAGGTGCTTGTGATGTTAAAGAAGTTTGGAATCGAGGGAAAATGTAACA